GCAGTAGACCCTCTTGAATTTTTCGACAGAAAAGACTTGGAGATGGATATGGATTAGAGAAGCTCTTTAGAATTATAATTAGTGGGAAAAAATTTCCTGTCATGCTAATAAACATGAAAAGCTTCATATCATTCATGTCCATCTCAGGTGATGTACCCATGACAATTCATTACAAAGCATGCTCGTATATGCATATATTTTTAACTAAAGCCTCCCAATTAATTATATTACAATAATTTTTTCATGGTGATTAATTAAAATAATCATTATGCCTTTTTATATTAATCTCATGCATATCTTTGCTTTATTTTTATTTATGTTTGCAAAACATATAAATTTATGATGATTATTAAAAAAAATCCGTCTTTAACTTAATTAAATAATTATAGATGTTTTATTATAAATTTAAAGCTAATAATTTATTATGTTGTTGCTTCTGAAGTAGCACAATATCATAATTAATATTTCAAAAGAATATTAATTATACATATATCTAGTATAAATAGTTTGTTGTTACTCCTGAAATAGTACAATATTATATTTAATATCCTTGAATAATATTATTTGCTCCGGAAGAGCACGAACTATATTTTTTAATATCTTAAAAGAATATTATTCGCTCCTAAAGAGCATGAATTACAATTTTTAATATTTCAAATAAAGATATTGACTTATTGCTACCAAAAAAAAGCAATAGTAAAATAATAAGTACTCTCAAAGAAGTACAACTTTACAAATATTAATATCGTCTAAAAAACATATTCATGAACAGTTAATGTTTTTAAATAATAATTATTGGTATTCCTGAAGTAGCACAATATTGTTAATATTCTAAAAAGAATAATATTGCTCCTTAAGTAGCATGCTATTATTGACAGTTATTTTGGTTAAACTTTACTTGCTCTTGAAAAGCATAATTAAACAAGTATAGCATAAATTATTTGTTTTACTCCTGAAGAATAAATTTTTATACAATTTATTATTTCAAATAATAATATATTATTGCTCTTGAAGAGCATGATACTACATTTCTAATATTTCAAAAGAATATTGATATTGCCGTTACAGAAACGATAATAAAATACAACGTGCTTTTGAAAGAGCACATGTTTTGAATAATATATCATGTTTTGGCATGACCAGTTGGACTATTATTTGATCAATAATGATGCGAAATTAAAAATTCAAATGAATATTCAATGAATAACCAGAAAATTCTTCAATTCAATCATATATGATGTTTGTTCTGTTTCACGAAATTTTTTCATTAATCACCACTAACTAAAATATAGATTGAATTCCACGTATTTTTAAAAATTAATTAGGATGATAAATGGGGCACTTCCACGTTGATCATCTAAATATTATTTATATCTAATAGATTTGATACATATACTAGATGATTGCATGATGTTTGCAACCTGAAGTTTGCGAAATTACTGCTCAAATTCTAAATTGTGAGCATAATTTTCGAATCATATAATCAAGACCGTGTCTTGTTAATGCTAGTTGATATAAATCTCAACATTTTAATAAATGTTAGTTGAGATGTTGATAAATAGTTTGACACTATTGTTTGTTAAATGCCTCTAATTAATTTAATTGAGAACAAGGTACTTCCCATTTCTGTTTGATGAATTTTATTGTGCATCATGTCAATATCACAGTTCTCCCTATAGTCAAAGCCTAATTTTTTCATCCACTTTATTTTGATGGTGCATATATGTAAAATTGATCCACCATAATGAAATGAGATGCAAAATAAAGAATGCTGAGAATAAATGCATAGTTTGAACACTTATCTCAAATGGGTGATATTTAATAATACAATTTATTGATTATCAAATTTGATTGACAATTCTCTCAGCAGTATGGGAGGAATTAAAAAGTTAAAAATAATGTATAAATACATCATTATCTAAATTCCCGCAAAAGAATTCGAACCAGAAGTTCGAAAAATAATTTATTTAGATACATTTACAGATAAAAGAGATCGAGAATATTTCACGCACCAATTTTAAATGCTCTAATGCGAATTAATGTCCTGTGATGATAGTTGGATAGTATTATATTTGTTATATTTATGGCATGTCTGAAGCGTGATAGTATTTAATTCTAATACCAAAAAAAAAAATAAAAAAAAAAATCAAAAGAAGATGGAGTAATTAGCAAAGAAGGTCCTAATTAACGAAGATAAGTATTTAGCATACCAAATTATAAAAATCTCCAAAAGTTCAGGCATCTGATATGTTAAAAGTTGAGGCATATCAATAAATTATGTCATTATGGGAAAAGAAATAAAATCGAAAAGAAAAATTGTCGACAATACTTTTGTAGGTGATGTAATGCATATGTTATGAATATCGAGGATATCAAAATAAATTTGTCATCAATCGAAGTAATGATTGGTCAAATAAAATGACGCGATTATACTAAATTAAATTTACTAGAGAAATCTGAAATTTCTGGATCTATAGTCCGAACATCAAAAGGTGTATATTTATGCGAAATGAAAATGGAAAAAGTAAAGTCGTAATATGAAATGTATGACTCTTTACATAATAAATGTCGCGAAGATTTGTATAAATAAATAAATTATCATGTGGTGGATGTAATCACAAATCTCTATTTCATTAGAGTGACAATGCATGAAATTTGATGTGCATGTAATAAATGTGATTATAGATGATTTATCTTGTATAGTTTTAATATTATCCTAGAATGATTTAATATACTTGAAGCATAATTTAAGTGATATTATCATGAGGAGAGTAAATACACGCTGTACTCATCGATTTTTTATTTTATTTTTAATTTTTGGTCAAACTTGGTTTCAATGAATTAGTTATTGTACAAATAATCATCAAAGAAGGAGTGTTGTAAAATAATGAGATAATTATTGTTGATTATTTAGTATTATAATGATAAATAGATAAGTATTATCTTGTCTAGAAGATCTATTTCATTTTAATTGTAACTCTTATTTTGGACCCTATAAATATAGGATATTGATTCTTAGTAATACATATAAGTCTATTAACTTCTCTATATTTTTCTTCTATTTTCTCTCATTTTATAACATAAATCTGATTTTTGAATCGAGCATTTTGAACCTCTAGATAGGTGTAATTTCCTCACAAATTAATACAAAATAGGTCTTTAGTCTTCTCATAACTAGGGCTATCGATGAATTGAATTTTGATCTGAATCCAATAAAATTAATGGGAGATAAATTGAAGGTCTCATTCCGATAATTTGATCAAGATCTGAATCCAATAATCCGTTAACTAAATTGAGTAAATATGGACATAGGTCAATTTGATCCGATTTATTATAAATAGTTGAGTTGGTTAAATATTTTTATGTTATGTTATTTGTCACTAAAATAAATAAATAAGAAACTAAAGAATTTTAAAATAAGAAAGTCATCAAATTCAAAACATAAAAAAGTCTATCACTATCAATTATCTGTAGGCGTTTTATTTTACTTTTCAAAAAGTCATAAGTCATCCCACGTCAGTTTCCATAAAAAAAAAAAAAAAGAAGTTAAAGGAATAAGTTATAAATAGGGGATGGGCCATTACTTAGATTTTTCCCTATTTGAGCTTAATTGGTTTAAAACACGAGCCTAACCAATAAGATAATTTCAATAATGGTTTTATCATCCTCCTTTTTTTTTCTTTTTTTTTTTTTATGTCGAATCGAATATCCGATAACATAACAAATCAAATATGGATTTAATATTCAAATATCTATTGCATTATTGGATCGGATTGAATCCATAAATTACTTTTATAGGATTCGATATGGACAAATCCGGTCGATATGCGATTTATTTACAACCCTAATCATAACTCATCATCTATTAAATATTTGACACGTAAAGTTTTAACAATAAAACGTTGATAAAATTTAATATACAAGATTTTTGTCAACGATATGACATTAAAGTACTTCTATCTTAAAATTCTTGACTATAAATCATAGTATTATTTTATTTTATTTATTCATTTATTTTATAAACTGTGTCGAAATATTTATCCTTTTTCGATCAAAACTTCGAGAGATGTGGAAAATCCAATGTTTTTTTGTCACTTATTCCCACCGGTAGTATGCAGAACTTATTGTAAACAGCTAGCAATAATATTCTTCTTTGAAAAATGACAGAGTCGAGAAAATAACGTGCCACCTGCCCCCGATTACGTGATAAACAAATCAAAATTTTTAATTGATTATTATTTTAATAAAGAAATGATATCAAAAAGTTTGAAAACTATGTTTTATTATTATATATACAGACGAGCAAGACACCCCACATTATATTTTTTTACAAAGGGATAACAATCACAATCAATGCCCATATTATTATGAACAATGCTACAAGTACAGTAATTTTGACATCATGGTTAACAGTCTTCGTACATATAAGTGGTGGGTTCCACGATCTAAATAATTGCTAGCTCCACGATTGTGAGAGTGCTGTACGTGTACAGCACTGTACACACAGCAATTTTGATTGTTATTTTCTCCGCATATTTTGTATATTAGATCTAGTTTGATTTAGTTAAAAATCTTGTTTTTAATGAATTTTGATAAAAGTATATAAAATTTGTGGTTAAAAAGTTACGTATCCCATTAAATAATAACAACGGATGAATGTTTCATACGTCGCCCTTCTTGAATCATATATGATTTAATCCAGCTAGTACTCTATCGTACAAGAAATGCAACTTCAATTTTGGGTAAAAAAATTCTCATTAAAAAAAAAAAAAATGCTTTCGAGGCCTCATCCGCAGAAACTCGAAAGTTCAATTATGTGGGAATGTGGCCTTCCATTATCACAATTCGTGTAACAGTATATACTAGTCTTGTGCAAATTGGCATTATTCATATGTCGTAATCTAAATTAATTATTATATATTGGACTACTACAACTATAAAACTAAAATCTCAAGACTATTCCAACTATAACACAGAGAGAGAGAGAGAGAGAGAGAGAGAGAGAGAGAGAGAGAGAGAGAGAGAGAGAGAGAGAGAGAGAGAGAGAGAGGAGGAGGAGGAGACGTGATCTCAATATGGAGAAATGTTGGGAGAAGAGTTTGCAGGAGAAGTGGTGATGAAAGAGAAGAGATTGAATAAAGCACACTTTGTTCTGGTACATGGAATTGGAGGAGGAGGGTGGTGCTGGTACAAAATCAGATGTCTAATGGAGAATACCAACTATAGAGTTACATGTATTGACCTCAAAGGTGCTGGCGTCGATCAAACTGATCCCAACACCATTCTTTCCTTCGAAGACTACAACAAGCCGCTCATCGACTTCTTGTCATCCTTAGACGACAATGAAAAGGTCTCCTCCTCTCTTTATAGCTTAATTATTAGAGAGGAGTCACACGTACTCATTTAACTAAATATTAATTCTATTTATGGATACAGGTAATATTGGTAGGACATAGTGCAGGAGGGCTCAGCTTGACAGACGCAATTTACAAGTTTCCCAACAAAATCAGCCTTGCAGTTTTTCTTGCAGCCACCATGTTGAAAATGGGCTATGTTACTGACCAAGATATCAAACAAGTAAGTTCTTTAATACATTCTTACTCCTTTTTTGTGCTTGCGTGCGTGCGTGTGTAGGTGGGAGAGAGAGAGAGAGAGAGAGAGAGAGAGTCATTTCCTGAGTTTTACTTGATATATGAAGCATGGAATTTTGCTACTTAAACAGAATCACCCCATACAAGTGTCAGATGCAGCGTTGACAGCAACACGTGGTTTTTGACTCTGTCCAATGACATAATGTCATATAACACTCTATCATGCCACATGTATAAAATCTCTGTACATATGGCAAAGTTTGTGAAGCATGACAATTATTGTGGAAATCTAAATTTTTAATCCCAAAATTCTTGATCGTTTAAAGTGAAACTTTTTGTAGCAAGCACTATTAATCGATGATAGTTGCAACTACAATTCTACCGTGCATGAATTATAAGTACACACTAGAATGACTCGATGCCCCAGACAATAAATTTCATTTATCTACGAAAATCGTTTGAAGGTGTGAAAAAATTCATTAATTTGTTTGACGGCTCCATATAGACCTTTCTTTAATGGTTATTACTCATTTTTCGTTACCTTGAATCATATAATAAGAAATATTCGAAAATCGAGTAAGGCGAACAATTTGAACTCAACATGTGGGATTGTGTTCATGAGTAAAAGAAAAAATAAGGTAGGTGGTTAGTGTCAAAGTTGGTGGCAGAGAATCATACTCTACAGATATTGTGATACCCACTCCTGACTAACAACTATACTTCTATACCCAACCATTTCTTCGGATAATGAAAATAATTTGAAACTAATTTTTAAAGATTATTTTTATAACTTTGGTGGTACATATCTTTTCCCTTAATATCTAGTTAAGTAGTTATAAGTAGTACAAGAGTAATGCTATCTGTTCAGATTGGTGACGTGGAAGAGAGAGAGAGAGAGAAAAAAAAAAGAAAGAGAAGTCAATTAATATCATGTCATCAATCTGTATACAATGATGTACAAGCAGCATTACTCGTAATACAATGTGTGTTCAATTTTTTTGAGGGTTTGTGATATTTTATAGGGAGTGCCAGATTTATCCGACTTTGGAGAATTTCGTGATGTTTACGACATGGGCTTCGGATTAGGGCAGGATCTTCCTCCAACCACTCTGATCATCAAGAAAGGATTGCAAAGGAAAATCGTTTACCAATTGTCCCCTCAAGAGGTAATTCTTTTGTCCCACTCGATTATAATTTTCGTCTCTAAACATGGTCTATATGACCATTCAGGATTCGACACTGGCAGCCATGCTTTTGCGGCCGGGGCCAATTCAAGCCTTGACACGTGTACAATTTAAAGAGGGGGAGAACACAGAGAATGTTCCTCGTATATATATTAAAACAACTCAGGATAATGTCGTGAAACCTGAGCAACAAGATGCAATGATCAAGAGATGGCCACCATCGGAAGTCTACGTTTTGGAAAGTGATCACAGCCCATTTTTCTCCGCTCCGTTTTCTCTGTTTGGATTGCTTGTTAAGGCTGCAATTTCTGCCGGATGCAACTAGGCCAAACGGAGAAAAACACATTCGAATTACGATAAGACGGGGAGTGAACCACTACGTCTCTTAGTTAGGGACTTAGTCCCGGTGATAAGATGTCACAGAGGGATTCTTGCACTTGAGAAAGTGGTGCTCTTGCTCAACTTGAATCTTGTACATGAATTATTGTTTGGGCAAAATTATAATATGATTATAATTAAATGAGTCAAGCTGATCGATAGAAATACTCCATTCTTGTCATATATTGTTGGTGTATATGTGTGTGGATTGCAAATTATAGTTTGAATGACTTAAACAAAATAAAATGAAGTATGGAGTCTTGGCAATCATCTCTCAAGATATAATAGTATCTCCTCGTAGTAAATGCACTTCAAACTTCTAGGAATCAACAAACTCGAAAATGGATTTTCAGTCTTTGAATGATATTTTATGCTAGAAAACCAAGAATTGTTGGAGTGTTTTGATGCAATATGATAAAGACATGATATAAAATGAATTTAGACTATAAAGGGAGTCAAATTTATAGTGGTTGAGCTCGGCTCGACCCATGAGCCAGTAGTTGTTGAGCTCAGCTCGCGAGCTCTGATTTTTTTTTTAAATAGATAAATATAAACTTTCATTCTTTATCCAGGTTTAGGACCTGCTATTTAAATTTGAGTAGGTGGAGTAAAAAATTGTATACGAACAACTTGTAATCTATACAATTTTTTAAAGAAAATTAAAAACAGTATTATAAAATAACAAATTCTGATTAATATGGTTAAATTAAATATTATTTAGCTAACAACATGTAATTTCAACATATTTATCTTGTAGTTGAAAATGAGTGTCTTCTCAATCCTTCACGCACATTAATGCTTTCAAAATATCTTCTTTTAGTCGGCTCCTGACCTCGCACAATACCCTCTTAATTGTACTAAAAATAAACTCTGAAGCTGCAGTGCAAACCGGAGATGCCAGTAAGTCTTGTGCAATTGCAGAAACTACTGGCCATCGTCATTCATACCTTCGTAAGAATTTAATAACCTCTTCGAAACTTTTTTTAAATTGTTTTGTTGGTAGACATATTATGATTAAAGTGATCAATTAATTCAACAGTCAATGTATTTTTACGTGCCTCTGATATTTGATTACATGCACAAGATAAAGTATTACTAGATGCAACTATTGCATTTACATCATATCATACGTGTTAATACCTTCGAAAAAAGTTAATACTTCAGTGCCATCTTTTTCAATATTAGTGGAATGAGCAAGTGCAAAGGGCACTAGATTAATATTTGTACTAATTCGTTCTGCATATAATTCATACATTTTCACATAATATTTGTTCTAAATTTTTATATGTGATAGGTGTATTAAAAGTTAAAACTCTTGAAATTTGATCAATTATATATTTAGTTCCTCAACAATTATGTTGAGGTCATAATGCATGCTAAAATTTTCAATGTTTTCTAAATTTTAATTCCATAGAATATATAATTGCACTAAAATTGATGTCATTTTTGTATTTATGAAATGTCTTTGCAATTATATAAAGTCGTTTGAGTACCATATGACTAGTGGGATAATAAACTCTAGATAAAATATTCGTAGTGTCATAAAACTAGTCAAAAAAAATTTTAATTTTTAAAGCTAAAAGCCAATCGAATTTATTCAAATAGTGTTGTCATCATCTTTAATATGTCTATTGTTATAAAACTCAGTTATTAAATGTTCAAAACTTGTGCATGACTTTAGTAATACGTAAGTGGAGTTCCATCTATAACCTAAGCCGCTAACAAATATTTTAGCATTCGTTACCCCAAATTAGGCATAAAATTCGTTACCCCAAATTCGCATTCATACTCTCACTTCTCTATGTAGTTGACATCCCTGCCAGAAAGTGGTTTTCAAGAAACAAGGAACCCAATGCCCTTTGTTCTCGTACAATCTCAATAGCCAATCATTGTCATGCAAGCCATACGTGTCAATTATCGTTCTCCAACCATCTTTAAATTCTTCAATATACTGCAAATCATATTCTAATTCGTGTATAGCCCCAAATATCGAACACTTATCCCATGGTAGCCAAACTTCTCTAGCAACTTCTTCAAAATGTGTCACATATACCTCGTATTTGAAAAAATAATCTGAATTGTATTTTGCATCGCCTTATCGTGATCGGTAATTATACCATGTTGGGATTGATCGTGCATGCACTAAAATCATGTCCTGAACAACCATACAAAAATATTTGTGTCTTTGTTCGAAACCAACCCACAATCGAGCAATGTTGATTAAATGTCGTACTTATTAGTAAAATAAGTGTATCAAAGGTAACAATATCGCCAAACTCCTTGTATGTCTACCTACACCGATTATCTGCCCAAAAATACATTTTTTAGCCATGACTCGTTGTCCAAATCCATACTAAAGTAAAGTCCTGAATGTTGTGCTTGCATCTTTGAAAAGTAGGTTTGAATTGCTACAATATCTCCTTTTCCAAGTCTTAAGCACCTCACTCGTTCTATATAGTTCCAACAATCCTTTTCAATACAAATCATATTCTCAAATCCACCTACTTCTACAACTTCATATGCAACGGAATTTCTACCAAATCATTCACTTGAAGCTTCCATTTCACATATGCACTCAAGTTTCTGTTGCATTGATATAACTTGAATTTAGAAGGATTTGTTTCATAATTATGGTCGAGGTTTACCGCGTTAATTATCCAATTTCCAAAGACATCAGAAGATGCAGATATCCTGGCCTTACATCCTATCTTAATTGTTGGTTGTGACTTCAAAGAACCAATGGTATTACCGATTCTTCCACCTTCACGGCTACATGTTAACGCCACATATCTCAAAACTCCATCGTCCTTGTTTTTCGAATTCCTGTTCTTAACTGGGATACCCACTACATAAGCATATTTCTTGTAGCAATTATACATATCGTTTTCATTTTTAAACAACATACCAACTTCAGGCACAATTATACTATCTTTCCTTAATTTTTCACCTTCCGCTACATTTACGGACTCCATAACATTCTCATTATCAGATTGCACCAAAACGTTGTCATGCTTGTCTTACGCGTCCAAATCCATACTTTATTCTACTACGAAAAAAACAACGGTCATGTTCAGTCAATGTATACAGCAATTATCACTACATTTGGTATCATTTTTGAAAAATACTTATGAGTTCAATTGTATGATTTGCCTATACGTATACCAATATGTTATGTAGCCTAGGGTGCAGCAAAACAACGTATTACATATTTATAAGTATATATGAAGTCTACCAATTGCAATAAATCGATACATAAAAAATATTTCAGGTTCAATAACTACAGGTGCAAAATTGAAAAATTGTAGGGGCGTGCAAAACTGCAAAATTTCATTGGTCAAGGCAGTGCCTTGGATTCATGAAAATTAAGTCTTCTAGCTGTAATGAAGCACACAAAAGTTACACATTACAAACTTCTAAACGATAACGGTGAGGATACCTTTATATGTACTGACCAGGATTCTGATGCACAACAAAAATTCCGATTCTTGCGGGTTTCTCAAATTTGCAAATATGGAAGATCTTCACTCTTATGTTTTCAGGTGCGGCTCTTGCACGTTCGCCAGAAGTACTAAAATCGTCGAAAATATCGCTGCCAGAGTTCAAAACAGCGTTGCCGGCACATTAGGATTTCTAATTTCGGGGAAAATGGTTTTAAGAAAGAGTGGTAGTTTTATTGCTGTCGATTGGTTTCCCTTCAAAGGCCAATATGCTGTGTAAATTGGGCTTCCCTCCCAAAAAAAAAAAACCAAATGACACGTCATTTATTATAAAACCCTGTTTTTTAGTTTGTTTCTGAGCCCTTTCTTGAATTTCTTATTATAATAAAGTGTTTTCATTGTAATGCCAAATATTGAACGAAAAATGCTACTCAAACAGGGAAGAAAGCAGGGTGATGTGGCTGCTCATGATTGAGTGTTTTGTTTTTCCAACTTCCAATGAAAATTTATCGAGTGTAGTCTGGAAAAAAATTCTGTCACTGAGTCTGGCCAGGTAGCATGATTGATACTGAATTTTAGTATTTCAAAAGTATTAGAAATTTTGTCTTCAAAAAAGAGACAAATCATTAAGGGTGCAGTTGGTCTAGTTTTCCATTTTCGATTTTAAAACAATTTTTAATTTTCCTCGAAAACGGCGTATTTTGGGCGTTTTACGCATTTTGGGAATTTATAATTGAAAACACTCAAAATGATAAAAAGTCGTTTTGCATTTTTGGTTATAAATTTTAACTCGTTTTCAAAAACGACGGACCAAACGCGTTTTTCGTGTTTTCGAAAACGGAAAATGGCTTGAAAAAGCCAAACCAACCGCAGCCTAATTATCTTTAGGTCCACTGACAGAAACTTAGCAGGTTAAGGATTTCTAGCTGTCTCTTGGTGAAATTTTTTTATTTTTTATTATTATTATCATTATTATTCTTTTTTGGCGTTTAAAACGTTGTTAGTCATTGAACTTACACTAAAAAAATAATAATAATAATAAATAAAAAATTAATCACCAAATCTTATTTAGGCACTGCAGAAGTCTGGTAAATTAGAAGGAATGCTAACGCCCCAAAAAAAATATGACGTAGCATGATAAACTGGGGCTATGGATTATGAAGGCTCAAGTTCGAAGACAATCTCTACTAAAAGCTCAAAGGGAAACTCGATGAGCAAACTACCGAAGTAACAAAAAACGATAGAAAGTAGGGGAACTCTCTTCATATATCCTCAAGTAGTTAACAACAGAATTCTGCACTTCATGTTTTGGAAACGAAACTTTATCTTAGTATGCCCATGTTTGGATTCATTTTGAATCTCTTGCTTTGGATCATTAGATCTTTGTAATTTTTGTTTTGTAGGTCTGGGTATGTCTGCAGTAGTTGTACTCTATTTTTGATCTATATATTTATTTACCGATAAAAAAAATATATAAATTTGTAGATACATTATTTTATCGTCTAACCAGACACTAATAGAACTTGTTAAACTAGTTACTTTTGTATGATTTACTTTCATTCATACGTTCCGTTTTTCTTTTCAGACAAATCATTATCAAGATGAATGTTGAAGCTTCAAAATATATGATGTAGCAAAACTATGATGCTCTACACGTTATTGTTACTTCAAGGACGTATTTGGTACATTACTAGACAGTGTTGAATAGCACTATGAACAATATTTCTAACTTTTTTTTCTTATTTAATTCTGCCTAAGATTATCAAATCCACTTAACCAAACAATTTATAAATGTTCACATAGAGTAACCAAAACAGGAAGATTCAATGAAGGGACCTTCAATTTGACTCGGCAATGGCCATCATCTTCCTTTGAAGTTCTTCCTTGTTGGAACCTACAAGTTTGTCCAGTTGTCGTCCGTCTCTTAGGAAAAAGAAGGATGGAGTGGCTTTGATGTCCCATTTGGTAGTCAATTCCTACACCATAACAGAACAGCTTTTTCATATATCAAGATATTCTGTTTATAAGCACTAGGGATTTTCTAGAAATAGACATGGTGCGAAAATAACATAGACTAGTTCACGCGCATTGAAAGAAAAAGTAACAACTTACTGCTAATTTATCAACGTCCACTGTTAGAAATAAAATTGAAGGATATTTATCGGCAAGCTCAGAGTAAGATGGTGCTATTTCTCTACAAGGATTGCTCCAAGATGTACTGAAATTAACTGCCACCTGTTGGAAAGTACGAATTAGAAAAAGAACGTCTAAAGTGAGAAAAAAAGAGGAAGAGGAGTTCTCATATCAAAATTTGTAACAAGCTCCAAATTCATGGCTTTTTTGCTGATTAAAGCCAACTCCTAAATCAATCTTGAAAAATGACTGAAAAAAATCCAAACTATAGTATTCAAGTTGACACACAGTCGCACACATCAGCAGGTAAAGATAGGTATCTTCTTCAAAAATGCACAAATGACATTAGATTGATGCTGTGCATATGAAAGTGATGTGCCGAATGAGCTAAAATCTGACCCCGGATAGGAATCACTGTGTTTGAAATCATAATGCAATCTAGAATATAAGTGGTTTCCTACTCGGAGGAAATTACATGATCTGCAAAAGTTTACAATGATAGTCAAATAAAGCATAGGCAACTTACTATCTTGCCTTCCTTCCTTGCTTCCGAATTCTTTTCTTCCCACTTCTCCATAGTAGTTATAAGATGAACATTTTCACCTCCAAGCTCTGCTGTAATACTCTTTACATTATCGTTTTGTGTGCAAACCTGCAATGATACAATGTTCTTTATCTACCGGAAAAGAAAGTTCTATTGTTCCAGAGCAAGAATATCTAAACATAAAGGTAAACAAAAAATACACTTGAACCACAATAAACCAAAATAAACCAATACCTATGGCAGTTATCTCTAGAACAGATAAAAAAAAATGAAAACAATTGTTCAATGGAATCGGTGTCTGAACATTGATTACCTTAATCCAGCACTGTCCCATCGCCTATGTACAGCTGAACAGTGGGAAAGGACTACAGCTGCAAGCTGAAAGTATAAATGCACCAGCTTAGTAGATATGAAATAGACTTGATAACATTTTATCTGCAGAATCAACTAAACACATGAAGCTTTTAAGCTCAATAAATCTATTCCTTACAGTAACCCCTCAAGCCAACAAACCGGTCAACAAACCGGAAGTCTAATCTTGTTAACTTTTCTTCCACCTAATTGTCAATTAACGCAAATGCACATTAATGTTGGTTTACAATGTTTGCAGCAAACTGCATTAAGTCTCATTTACTACTTCAAGGAAGGAATCTACTCTAGAGAAATCTATTTCGGTTTCATGCTTCATTGGTAGATTTGTGTGCACCATCATAATTTTGAGAGATCACTTCTCCTGCATTTCTTTGTGTGCGGGTTATGGAGATCTTCATAGTTCACAGTGACAAATGACAAACTTCACACTTTTAGTTGCTGCAATTCATCGAACATGTGCCCTGATGCCACAACTTGTTTTCAATCTAAAGATCAAGACTCGAATACACCTTGTAGTCAAAGTGACAACCCTTCTACAACTTGTCTGCAATCAAATAGAATTGAGACACAAATAGGCTTCTTAGGCAACAACCCTGCTACAAATTAGTTGCATTCTAAAATAATCAAAACTCAACTACGCGGCGTAGTCCACGCCTTTTATCAAAATATCAACCAACCCCCCACCCCAACCCCCGGCCTCCCCCAAGGAAAAAGGGAATTGTAGCATATTGAAAATCATTACAGATAAGTCAATAATCTAGACACGAAAAACAACAAGGGCTTCGGATATCCAACGAATACTGATCAGAAAACATCCCGTTGCATCCATATGTTTCCTGTAATTCTTTAACAAATTCACAATCACCCTAAAAAATTACTCTCTGGGTTTGAAGGAAAGGGATCTGATAAGCGGAATTCTCATCGAGAACAAACAATTCAAGAACATTAAAGAATTAATCTGATTTTTCCTTGATTGAATTGAACTAAAAATTAAATAAATGAAAATCCAATACAATTTTTCTTGCAGATCATATTATTAATCAAAAAACGAATTGAAAAAAAAAAAAAAAAAAAAAAAAAACCTTAAAATCGTGCAGTGTAAGCCTTCGATAATGCACCATTTTTGCGGGGGTGAGTGAGAAAAGACACCCAGATGGATAAAAATGCGGAGATTTGAACAATTACAGAAAGTCTTGATAATATTGGATAAAAGCCGTTTACATTGTCGTTGGCTAACCAATTTTTGAAATATGCTGTACCAAAACTGCCCTTTGGTATAAAGAGATCGGTTGACATTGAGCCAGGGTTTTTTGGTCATGTACTCAAAGATGGTGAGAAAAATGAAGATTTATTTAAAAACTATTCCATTGATTACTATATTTATCTACAACATGTTTGTCTAATTTTCTCTCTTTTAACTTGTTCCATGCTACAAAATATGTATCGTTTTCACCGCCAAATAATAGAGATGGACTTCAACGCATGTTACGCCATCATTTTCTTTAAAAGTGTTATTCGCACCTCTTGAATTATATTGTATTTTTGGGTTTTGGCAATTGCTTTGGCAGCGTAGCCCGATTTCTCCATTTTTCCTAAAACTGATTTTTTCCAAAATTCTTTTTGGACCATAC